AACAGACCACAAAAAAACGTTTGAAAATAAAGGAAGCATTAGCTGAGAAACAATAGAATCTCATTACCTGTTCATACAGCATATTAGTCTTATCTCTGTCTGCTGTCAACACTTTAACATTGCTTTGAATCTGAAAATATACAAAGTCAATTCTAGACAAATAATATATAGAGTTGGCCTGCATTCAATAAATTAACAAAAACAAAACAGAGCACTAACTGAATAATACTTCAATATTTAACATAGTAAATGTTTTTCTAAATTATTTTAACATTTAAAAAAAAACTTTCAAAAGTAAACAATGATACTCAGGCAATATAACTTTTGAGTATATTTTACCATGTTTAAAAAACTTAAACAATAGAGCACAATTTATCAAAATAAATCGTTTTGGCAGCAAACTAATAGAAGTATTCACTCAATAAATTTACGTTCATGCACACTCCCAAATTTTGCAATTCAAAATAATCATTTAATTAATTTGTCTGCTTTTCCTATCAAAATACAATATATAAAACAAAATTATACATTAAATGTGCTCAAAACAATCAATATTAACCATTATATGTTATGTCCATTAGTCAAACTAAACTGAGTTACTCGCTAAATATTACGCAAGTATTTTACATTAAAGGGCGACAGTCGTTGTGTCGTGTCCTGTTCGATATGGGACTCATAGCGACGTATACTACGCGTGTAAAATACATTGTTTATTTACATGAAATTCGAACGCGCGCTGCGCGACGACCACTGCGCTTTAAGTAAGAATCCAGGGTGGTCTAATTTGAGAATAGTCAAGCAACAAATGACATCGTTCATAATAGTGTCAAATCATGAAACTAACAGTAAGTGTGAAAGTGTACATGTAATAGGATCCACAGAAGGACATGTATTTACTTGTATACTAATTGATATGTTACCTCTGACATATGCCTTTCAAATTTATCCAACAACACCTGCAATTCATCCCTTTCACGTTTAAGCCTGTACAGCTCTGTGTCTTCATCAATGCTCTGTAAA